TCCCATTCGGCTCTGAGCTCGTTCCATGGCAGCGTACTGCATGGCAATCTTGTTCGAGTCCTCGTTCTTTTCCATCTTCCCGTCACCATTTTTTCAGTGTATCAAATGACTCAACCATCTTCTATAGCGTCATTGACCTCAAGAATTTTAGCCGGACTTTCATTCGCCATAATATCATGCCTCGTTCCTGCGATACTTGTGCTCCGCGTGCGGCTCACCGCGACGAATAAGCTGTATGAGGAAACTCGAACGTTGTTGTTCTTGGGACCCTTGTACAATCACTATCGCCATGGATCACAAATGTTCGCTTCTTTGCTCTTTGCTACTAATATAGCAATCGGAGTGACTATTGGTGCCGGTCAAAAAAGCGGAACTGCACAGGCTATAGTAATCCTGGTGGTTGAGGTTCTTTCTGCGCTGGTCACGAGTGTGTGGCTACCTTGGGGCACCGGAGCGAGTATGGGCTTGATCAGTTTCTTGTTTTGCGTGGCGAGAATCGTGATTGCGGTGTTACTGGTAATTCTTGCTCCTGCGGTATGTTCAACATCGGAACCCGTTCACGACGTTTATTAATGTTCTTCGAAGATCTCAGTTGGAGTGGGCCCAGATGCCTGGGTTGCCTACGGCATATTGCTTATTCTTGCCCTAATTTATGCATCTCTCGCACTCATGCTGGCCGTTAAAATCCTTGAGGCCATCGTTCGTATCGTCGGCGGAGTTTCTTTCGATCGTTCCAGGCATGTCGTTGACAGTGGTCTTTTCGGTGCCTGCGGTTTACTGGGATGTTGTGGAGGGCCTCGTAAAAGTTCACGTCGTGATAAGCGCAGTGGAAAATCCTCTGACAGAATAGGTTATTCTCAAGCCGAATCAGCACCTCGTTCTCCTCAATCAGATCTCTCGTTTCCACCCACGATTGCGGTCGGGACTGGCAAAGGCTCCATCCACTCAAATGGGCCGCCGCCTTCTGTTTTAAAACCCGAACATGCGTTAAGACCTTACAGAGAAGAGAGCGATGATGAAACAGGTTATATCATGGGTGCATGGCAGCCTTTCCAGAATCGCGCATCGGGATATATACCTGTCGCTGATTCAGGCTCAACAAGTGCTGTCCCCCCGGCCGCAATCAAGAGCTCTGGCTTCTCCCGTGTAGGTGGAGGAAGGGCACACATCCATTCACCATATGCAATATCCCAAGAGCAAGCAACAGGGTCCACGCATACTTTCCCTTCCATAGGACACCGGATCGCTGCTAATCAAAACGCCACAGGTAGCGTAGGAGAGCTAACTTTATCCAGACCTAAACTCGACGAATCTCCACCACCTTCCGTTTCTTCTACTGTGGCTCTGGGTCAAAGACAGCTCCATGAAGGGTCGAGTGGACTACCACCCGGTGCAATGCTGCCTTTCCATTCCCGAAAGAAATCTCAAACAGCCATCATCGAAAACGTGGACGCTGTACCAGTGTCACATCGACCTGCTGGTTCCTCAGCTTCTAACAGCGCTGGGACATCTCGTCCGCCTTCGCGTTCCAATCGGTTCGAGTCTATTGGAACATCCCCCGCTCCTCCAACTGCCTATCGGAGAAGAAGCGCCACTGTTGAAAGTGATGACGATAGTTCCTATGGGCGTTCGAAGAAGAAATGGTATCACCTGCGTAGGAGTCGTGCACATAGTACGGAAGGCTATCCAGCCCCAGGAGTTGCTGAAAACGTCAATTCGTCACTGGCGCCTCCTTCTTTGTCAACGCCAGGGAAATCGTTTGTCGTTATTCGGAAGCAGCAGACGTCCCCTGCTAGATCTCTTCAAGTGGCCAGTGGATCAGGCTCAACTCCTGCTACGCCAACACCCAACTCTGTATCTTTTGCCAAGGATGTCGGAGGCGGGACTTGATTATCTTTCACATCTTGCTATTGACCTCGCATTACTGCAGTCACTCACTCATTTGGATGATTTCTCTGGATTCGTTAACGTTGTGTATGAATGACTATCTAATTGTCATGGACAATCGTTTTGGCTTGCTTGCGTCACTGTTTTCCCGATCTACATTATACTGGTAGAAATTCTTTGCCTTTTATTAACTTGCATTGTACATTAATAGACAATGATCTTTGAAGAGATGTGCAGCTTGGTGCAAGTAAATTAGTAACATGTTAGGTGCGAATGGATGATAGTGTCCGTAATCTTATTGCTCTTCGTCCTCGTAGTCGGCTGTTAAAGATCCTCCAAGCCAAAACACCCGAAAATCTTCTAAACCTTTGCGACACCAACAATACAAACCCTTTTCTAGTTCGAGTTGTGTCGAATCTGTACTAAAGCTCGAATCGGTACTTAACGTAGAATACGAGCGATTGAGATTGCTGGCAAAGGTACGCTGACGATCCCAGTGACCGCCTGTGCACAGGAATCCAGCATCTCCGCCGGTATCTTGTTCTGCGTACAAGATATCATCTGCACGGGCTTTGCCTTTCCCCTTAGTGAGAAGAGAAGGCAGAGAGAATTCTTGTACTTCGACACCAAGTTCGCCTAAGGATATCAATTGCAGATAAGCCGGAGTAGAATATCCATCCATATCAGGTTCTGACCCTTCGAAAATCCGAGGGACAACATCGGTAGGGTTATTCTTCCAGGAAACGATACGGAGAGGAATATGTAAGGAAGAATTAGAAGGAAGGGGACTGGGTAAGATATGTGTTCGTCTACCCCGCGTCAGCAATATGACCTTCGTCGTCTGCAGGGGTGCTCCGGGTGCAGACATTGGCAGTTCACACAACGCGGGAGGAATCCATTTCCCAAACGAAGACGTGTCCATTATTATGCGAGATTTACGATGGCTAGTTGGACTCGATGATTCTCTAGTAGTAGGCCCAAACTGACTATCATCATGCAAGTCCACCTCGCCAACGGCCGAATCTGCGAGACGGATCCAGCCGGATTTCTTGTCGAATATCACGAAAATACTGAGTTGAGTTCCGTAAGGCACTGTCATGGCGGAAGTACTTGAAAGACGACGCGTATCTCGAGAAGTGATGGAACTATCCGCACGTCTATGAGAACTCGAAGCCTTGTAGCCTGAATCGGAAAATGAACGTGCAATTTCGGAGACACTTTGCTGGAAGAAGGTGATGCTTCGAGGAACTAACGGAGTATAAAATTCCTGCAAAATAAAGTTCAGCTGATGACATGGAGAGGTTCGTAATACCCACTTTTAGAAAATGGAAGGCCCGTTCACCTTTAGGAGTTTCGTAAATGAGTATGTTTGATTTTGTCGCTATTGCGAGCAGCCGGCCTCCTCGGAATCTTGGTCGGTCATCGTTGGACCATAACGCGTAGGACAAGACTGAGCAGGTGCTGAGACGAGAACCAGGCGTCGCCAATGATACAAAATCTGTTGCCCATCGTAAAGGTAATTCGTCAATCATGTCCCAAGTGGCGGAATCGAATGAGTCTGCTCTGGGAGAACTTGGTCGACTTCTAGTTGTGATTGAGTCTATGGACGGAGACGGCGAAAGCAATGACTGATACGATGAAGATTGAGGATTGTCGGATACATGGTGATTATTAGGAGAATCGATGAGATTTTTCAAACCACGAGCGATACTATGCTGTGGCCGATGCCTCTTCGGAGGTGTTTGTTGTTGAGAGTGCCAGTTGGCCGGTCTTCGCAAATCCAAAGGACGTGCGCCCTGGTTAATCGAGATATGACACATTGTGAAAGCCTGAAATGGAAAGTCGATGCTAACCTTTTGGTTTATGGCCCATTTAGCCAAGCTGATCAAACTAGTCAGGTTGTACATTCGAAGCACCCTAGCAGATTCTGAATCTTTACTTGACATTGACGGTGAATCTATTTCTGGGCCGACAAGAGCTAACACAACACCCTGCGGAGTCCCCCGGGCATCGTTCTCCATTTCAAGTAGGGACATCTGAAATACCCTGGTGAGAGTAAGTCGAAGACAAACAAGAAGTACAGTAAAAACACCGTACCCTTCGCCAGTCCAAATCGAACGGGCCTGTGCTTCCTCGGGCCCTTTAATACTTATTCCTGCTGCTGCTTCAGAACGCGGGTACATGTCAAGCACCGAAAGACCTTCGTCATGACCGATCAACAGGAACTTCCCTTCCATTATCGATAGCACACAACGAATTGGAGAAGTGGTGTGAGGGATAAATCTCGATCCAAACTGGTGCATTCGTAAATGTGTAGGATGAAGCTTCAAGCTCACAGAAGGAAGCGGAGGAAGTGGGGGAGATAGAGTGTTTCGTGCTTGCTGTGATATATGAGGATTATGTAGATGGCTTGTCTGAATATGTAAAGCCAACGGAGAAGGTGTAGGTGGTTCATTGATTATCGTCGGAATAGCCGGAAACTCGGTGAAGCTTTCTGAGCCATACTGATTGTCGCCGTATGAGTTGAAAGTGTAAATTTAGAGTCGTGCCAAAGGTCACAAACCATCTCGTCATTCCCCCAGCCTCGTTCACGTCGCCTTGAACGTTCTTCTTGAGATATATCCGTATAACGTTCAGCTGCTCTACAGCAACACAGCAAAAGCTGAGCGAAGTGATTCTTCAACGTTATATTGAACCCACCTTTTCTCTATCCAGCCTCTCCAGCGTCCGAATCTAACGATGAATTCTGAGATCTACAATTTCAATGAATTCTACACAAAGAACCGACCTTGAATTGGGACCATTTTGAGCGGCAAGGTCATCGTAGGTCGGAAGACCGCCTTGATTAGTTGAATCATCCGTATCTTGTTCGACGTAAGAGTAATCCTCGCTAGACATGGAGAGGTATTGGCGAGATGGTAATTGAAATTCACATTCAGTCCAAAAGCACGTGGAATCGCACTGCTTTGCTGCGTCTGTTGCAGCGCGGGTTGCTGCGTCTGCTAGATTTCTCAAATCAATGAATTTGATCAGGGACCAAGCTGAAGCCTGCTTTCCAGCTCATCGACATCAGTCTTACACAGGAAAAAAGAAGGACGAACGACAAAATGGACTGCATCAGAGGGGAGTCGAACCCCTTTCCCGGCCATTCTAATAACAATTCGCTATGTGGGAAGACCGGATCATAACCGTTAGACCACTGATGCTTTCTTACTAACTCCTGAGTGAGAGGATTCTTCGTTCTAGAAAAGTGGTTCTACATTTGACATTCGTAGACGCCATACTACTTTTCCCTACAATTTCAAGTGCACGAGGAAACATGTTAATAAATTGAAGTGTCTCTAATGAAAGACTAGGAAGGTACGAAAGTATAAAGTAATACTAATAATCGAGTAAACGTGCATCGCCCTGCGAAAAGGCGGGGAAATCAAGGCATTAAATGACGTGGATTCACAGATGAATCGTGAATGGTTCGAAGCTGGGGCAGCAGACTGCGAGGACATGGACGAGGAAATCAAGACACTGTTGAGATAATCACTTGGCATTTAGCTTGGATTCACAGTGTCTGAAATTCAACATACCACTGTTTGTGTCCTTGGGAAGAGACCACAGTGACGTGTAGCTCATGCTATCACGCAAAAGCTATTCGTTGCACTAGACGTAGACTCTTCGTCAGCAGGCACCGAGGTTGTGCTCCGCGCATCTTGCGACGTGGAGCATGATAGAGCTTCTGGACCAATGCTGGGGGAATTCGAGGGTTCCGAGGAGGCGAAGAAGAGAACGGATTGAAAGCAGTCCATTGCAGCTGAAGCGTTGGGAATGCAGAGGTTCGTAGGGAAAGACGTCGCGGGTTCGTAATTTGCAAAGATTGCAATGTGAAGAGCTACTTCCTCCAGAGGTAAGTAGCTTATAAGGACGTAGAGTGAAAGACAGAAAGGGACAGATCCCTTGAACTTGAAATTGTTTATTTAACCTTCTTGATCTTGTCCCTGTACTGGACAATAAGCCTGAGTGGCAAGCACATAGAGACACATAAATGAGCAACGCGGTGAAGCGCGGTAACGTCCAATATTTCGCCCCGCTTTATTGTATTTTGGTCGGCGTTACGATCTAAGGATGAGTTAGAATCAATGAGACAGTAGATTTTCTCTATGAAACATGAATGCGCTCCGTCCGTGCTGAGGAGCGTTATCTAGAAGAAAGACAATAGAACAATAAAGGGAATCTCTGACGGCCCCGGTCAAGTTTTGCACCTACCTACCTACCATTGTACCTATTCTAGGCAGGATGTATTGATGTCTTTTCGTTTATAAGTTCTGGCCGAACTTCGCACGACTGCAGCATGGGTTTAGCCTGACTATCCGTCTTGTAGCAGCTTGATGTCCTTGAAAAGGGGCCCGCGTTCGTGGGTTGTGAGCTCAGAGGTACGAATTTTTCGGGTCGATGAATCAAATCTCCCACACGCCGTCGTTGCCTTTTAGAATCTACCTCACGCTGTTCGTCTTCCTGCTGGGAAAGTAGACTTTCTGATTCAAGTTGAAATACCTTCTGTCCAATGCGAATACCGATCTATTGATAGCTAGTGTTGACTGCTAACTGGCCGCGGATGCTTGATGAATGACACGGCGAGCAGGACCCCTCCGAATTAGAGGAAGAAAATTCGGTATTTTCGGAGCAATTTTGACGATAAGTTCACGTGACGTTCCTTATCCGAATACCTTCAGGCCAAAATCGTAGCGTACTTCAGGCCGCCTGGGCGGGTGAGGCTTTGCAGGAGCTTCCGGGGTCCTCGGCGAGCCAGGGACTATCTGGGACTACGATATACCCCAACGGGAGCCAAGCACCGACAGGATAAGTTTTGAATGAAGTTTGAAGTATGGGCGTCTACAACTTTCTGTCCAGACTCCGAACGTGTCGTTTTCAAGACGGTTTTCGCAATCTCTTTGAAAGCTTTTTGGGCTCAAAACTACTACAGACCCTAGTTCTGATGCGGGAGAACCTACTCGTATGGCTCGTTCCTATAGGTAAATCCCGATTATTCCTGCGTGGAAACGACGCCCAAACTGATGTTGTGTACTCTGTTTTTCTCTACACTTGAGTCTCATGAATGGTTCCAGCGTTATGATAAGAGTAAGTGCGAATATCTCGACGCATTTCCACTGGTCTTTGACACCATCAGCGCTCATTATTTTGGCAATGGCAGATTTGTACTACCATATGAAAATCACTACCCGCCGAATGAAATTCTACCTTGCGATTTTTTATCCTTCTCATCTCCGATGTTCTATTAGAATCTGAAAGCTATCAGTCCACGCCTCAATCAAGCTGGGTGTGGAGGTTCACCAAACACAACTACCCATCATCGCCCAGTGCATCCTCCGATCTACAACTCCACATGTTCGAGTTTCATTACTCTATGAAGTATCAATTTCTAGGTGCCACCAAGGATCAATTAGAGCGTCTTTCTCGATTTAAGAACAATCTTTTTCAATTCCATTTTGCTCTTCCCAACACTCAACACTCTTTTCTTCTTTCCTGCCCTTTTACCCAGTTGCTCTTTCGCTATTCACTTCGTTCATTCGTATCTCTTATTTCATCTGTTCGATCTTTGAATTCCTTTGTCCCAAATGTCTCTTGGTTCTTCAAACCGCTTGAATGGAAAACAGGCCTTCGCTGCAACCCGAAACTTACTTCCTGCAGTCAAGCCCGACATACCATTCGCGCAGATTACGCAGGCGCCTGCGCACAGCTTTCTTGCTTGGACTTTTGGAAGAGGTACTGTGGTAAGTGTACATGTGTCGTCTTCTTTAGTATGATATAACTAACTTAGATGTATCATCATACTTGCGAATTAGATATATAAAATCTGGCCCGCTGTGATCTTTCAGACTCTCTTTGCTGTTGGTACGGGCGCGGGTTATCGCTCAGCCCGATGGGTTCCTTGCTGACCGTTTGGACAGTCATCGTTACTCTGGAAGAAAAAGCAGGTGTTAAACATCTTGCAATCCCCAACGTCATGTTAACTGTACTTGGTGCGTCCTTTCAATATTTATATTAATCTTCGCCCCTGAAATCCAATTAGGTGTTGTTCTTGGTTTCGTGCTATCTTATAGGTATATTTCCTCAGCAGAATTGTGACCTGTGATCGAAAAACTAAGTATTGAACTACTTAGGGCTATGTCAGGCTACGATCGTTACTGGCAAGGGCGAACTGCGTGGTCCGATGTTATCCAGCATTCGCGCTCACTAGGGCGTCTGATTTGGTATCACGTCCCCCCTCGGTTGACTCCGAGAACTGCAGAAGAAATCTCCACTGGCTTGATGAACCGCACAAGTTCGGAACTTGTGAGGGTCATGGCGGAGAAAAGAATGGCACTTGATTTGATCCTAGGGTTTGCTGTTGCTTTGAAACATCATCTTCGAGGTAAGTCTATCGATCCGGAACCTTTGATAAATTGATATTAATGCTTTTGCACAGGTGAAGTTGGCATCTACTACGAGGATCTATATTACCTCGTTCGTCCTTTACATGAAGTAAGTAGGGCGAGCTTTGTCCATATTTGTGGCTGATTCGATTCTCTAGCACGAGCATACTCAAGGACAAAAGCAGGCTGCGATGACCTCTACTCTCTCACCTCCTACGCGAGCGCGCAGAATTGCCTCTAATCCCGCACTCCCTCAAGCACAAACGTCGGCATCAGGCATCAGCAGAGAATTTTCGCCTCCCAAAAAACATCGTGTCCACTATCACACTGAGCATCCCAACACTAGCGAGAGCACCTACGGCACCTTCTCCGGGCCCATCTCCGAATCTCCGAATGGGTCAATTCATCGAGTTCCATCCAATGCATCCTTACAGAGCCAACACCAAGTCCTTGCTCCTTCACAGCAGCCCGGCGAGCAAGACATGATGAAAGAAGTTTCCACCGAGCTCATCCCTTTTGCGGGGATGTTTGGGGGTCTTAAGCGTCTTTTATCCCGAAAGAAAGCATACTCTGAGCTTTCCACTTTGGAGTCCGGAGCAAAAAATCCTTGGGGTTATGATGCGAGCCAGAGAAAATGGAGCGGTCCCATACAACCGAGGATTGGAAAAGAGAAGCATACAGTGTCTGCTGCTACCCGTGGTGAAAATTTGCCGCTGGAAATTCTCAGGTGCATGAGCGAGTGGTGCAGTGTTTTGGAAGAGAGAAATACTGTTCCGGGTAAGCAATTTCCATTGTTAATACGTTAAGCTGATTATATTCTTTCTCTCTGCAGGTACGAGTCTGGGCTCTATCATTGGTACCGTCTCTTCTCTTGAAGCGACGTTGTCCGGTAAGTTCGTTCCAGATCTATCCAGACAATTGCTGTAATTAATCCCATTTAGCCCTCGAACAGATTCTTACTACACCTCTACCTTTGTAAGACTCAAAACCAAGATTAATGACGAGAGCATATGCTGACATGATTAACGAATTTCTAGCGTCTACTCAGTACACATCAAACAGTATGTATTAAACTAGTGTCCCAGTGGCACTTTCTTCTGCTCACGAATATTCCCCTCAGCACCGTCTGGATCTACCTCTTCTTCCTACCCTTCCAGCTTGTAGCCGAGTTCAAATGGCACACTATCCCGGGTGTCGCTTTGGCGGCGTTCATTTACCTTGGTTTCCTTGCAGCTGGTGAGGAGATTGAGCAGCCATTTGGTGGGTCTTTTGTAACATTTCTATGCCGGTAATGCTCATCCTCACTCGCTTAGGCTATGACGAAAACGATCTCGACCTAGACATGTTCTGTGGTGAGATCATCCAAGTGGACATTGAGAACTTAAAGAAGTCGCCATGCCTCAATGCCTATTTTCCGCCTACCCCGCAGATACAACGGCTTGTCAGACATCGTTCGATGACTCTCACAGAGACCACTGCTCGTGAGGAGATATCTGATTCAGATCTAGAATACTGAACATCAATGGTTTATGCTTGTGTGTATATATCCTTCCCATCTACGAAAAGGAGATGTCATACTCCCGACTCATACTTGAGTGCGACTTACTAGTTTATTTTTCGTCGTCATTCTTATTTTATCAGCTTGCGAGTCTACCGCTGGTCACGGATTCTCTTGCGTATCTCACACTCATTTGTATCTACAGATTAATTCATCTAATTGTACAGTCCTACATTACATTATTATCCCACTAAGTCACGGTGAGTGCAGAGAGGTGCAGAGC